TCCTGTCAGAGGACGGGGCGTCAACACGCATCTTCTCGAAACTGACAGGGTGTCGGCGCACGTCTCCTCACAATAAAAGCATCTGCAGCACGACTCTCGAACGGCTACCATCACGTCTCCCAAACGCGCGCCCTTTTTTGAAAATCAAATTAAAGCAAGCGCCCTCAGTACGGACCAAAACCCTCCTACTACCTTACGAACTCCCCGCGCCAAGACAAAACCCTTGTCGCAGGGAGTGGGGGGCAATTGATGAAGGGAAATTTGGCCCGACCTCGCAATCACCCAACACGTGGCAAAAGCAAACAACTCGGGACAGCGAAGCGCCCAAAACGAGCACCAAAAGTAACGAAGTCCAAGCTCACTACCGTGCCCGAACTCCAAACCGCTCTACTAGGAGCCCGAGCTCCCTACCAAGAGTCCGAGCTCCCTAATAAGAGCGAGCTCCCTATTAAGAGTCTGAGCTCCCTATTAAGAACCCGAGCTCCCTACTAAGAACCCAAGCTCCCTGCAAGGAGCATGAACTACCTCGGGTCCCGAGCCTCGCAAAGCTGTGACCCGAGCTGACCCATGGCAGTTCGGAACACTCCCCAAACCGAGCTCGACATCTCGTTCGCCACTCCAGCACTTTGCTTCCGAAACACCAGGCAACATTATCCCTGTACCCCATCGTTGACAGCTAAGATCGGTCGGATTGTGCATCATCACTTTGGATTGGAAACATGTTCAATCCTTCAGTCAACATTATCCCTGTACCCCATCTTTTATTGTTATTTTCCCGAATGATATTGCAAAATTTGAAACCCTTTAAGTTGAAGAATTGTCAAACAAAGGCTTATCCTGGATATGTGGCATGGTTTTTAAATCTTTCCTATGACAAAAGGGTGTTTGGCCCCCAATCAGCTTCTGAATTGGGATATTCCTGGTTTGTTTAGATTTACTGTAAAACACCTGAGTTGGAGCCCTTTCCCCCTGGGTTATACAATAAATCATGAAGTAATAGAAAGTCAATTACTATCAATACTTTTAAGACCCTTCTTATTGATCCACTCCACCCACTCTCGTGCCATTGCTCCCCTCTCCTCCACTTTTCTCTTCTCAGCTCTGAGGCTCAAATTTTTGTGAGTTCGAATGCTTTAAAGCTCTAATTATAGTGTTTCACTATTTTGTCAATCATGGTTAAAGATCTGTATGCTTAGAACGCGCATCTTGTGGACCCTTTGGTTTGGAGATCAGGCCATCAAGGTACCTTGCCGCCATCTAACATCAACTGCGCAGGGGTTTCACCGATGGTCTGGTCACTGGCTAGGGCTAGGGCTCGGATGAGAGAGCATGGAAGGAGAATTGGAATGAGACTTCCAAATTGTGCTTTCAAAGCTTCATTTTGATTTTTTTGGGAAAATTCTTGATCAGTATCCTGTACTTTGGCTCGAGTGATAATTTGGTCCCCGAACTTTAAAATGCGACAATTCAGTACCTAAACTTTCAAAGTGTGACAATCCAGTACCCGCTGTTAATCTACTGTTAAATGATATTTGAAAAGTCAAAAATGCCCTAAGAATGCCATCTAATTCTCTTTATCAACCATCCAAACATTGACAATAAAATAAATAGCCCCAAATTCTAGATTCTTCTAAGCAGTCATCAACTTTTTTGAATAGAAGAGGTTAAGATTTAGGACTGTTCAATTTTTTATCAATGTATGGATGATTGATAAAGAGAATTAGATGGCATTCGAAGGACATTTTAAATGTCACTTAATGGTTGATAAACGGACTGGTTAACGGCAAGTACTAGATTGTCACATTTTGAAAGTGTGGATATTAGATTGTTGTATTTTAAAGTTTGAGGATCAAATTGTCACTCAAAAGCCAAAACACAGGATACTGATCGGGAATTTTCCCTTTTTTTTGTCTATTAGTGTGGTTGAACCGGCAATACATGAAGCCCCGTTAATTGCCTGTTAAGACCTATGAGACGACGTATTCACCTCTCATTGGAGGTACATGCTTCCTGTGAACTGAAAACCGAAGGATCCACAGGGTGCACGTTTGGACAATGGTGCATGAAACCATGCTTCTGCTGCCACTTTTAACAAGAGCCATGGTCTTTACTTTTCTTTTTTTTTTTGCTGATTTTAAGAGAACATCAAACATGTGGTAAAGGCCAAAAGGTGTTATACCTGAATGACTTTAACCCATCAAAAATCCATTTGAAATTTTGAATTTGAACAAATGGCATTTGACTGGTTATTAATTCTCAGTTTTTTAGGTATGTTGCCTGTCCAGTATAGTAATCAGACTCAAATTATTATTAGCAACAAGTCTCCTTTCATCGAAAAAACTTTTGCTCCTTTATTGGAAACGGTCCCATTCCGTCTATGGTAGAAAGCCGCTTAGGGGCCAATTACCTGAAAAACCTCTGGAATTGAAATGGCTATACTCCTTTATTGCAACTGGAAGCAAAGTGAAATGGTAGCAGGTAGCATAGGCCATGGAATTTCATTGTGTTTGATCATGTCCTATCATGGGAGATAGTGCTAGCATTGCTCCACACAATTACATCTAGAATGAAAAGGTTTTCAGTTTTCAAGAAATTATAGTACAAATGGGCTCATCTCAGGAATTCCAGAAATAACCTGATTTTCAGTTTTCTCAATCAGATATGATCACATTCCTATTAGGATCATTGTGGCCTCAAATGCTATTGAAAACGAGTACAAAACTACATCATCTCAACTCACTACTTTTATGAGAATCAACGAAGGTTTGGCCATAAGCCACTGAACCAGTCACCTACGATTGATTGTTGTAAACCCAGTTGGTGCATAAACCCGGGGTCAGGGGAGATGGATCTAAATTCAGTCCGTACAAAATGGCAATATGCACAGCTACTGCTTAGTAGTAGTCCACTATAAATTTGAGCGGTTCAATCAAAATTCCTTCAGCCATTGAAGTAAGTTTTCATAATTCAAATCTGACAGCAGCTCACTTTGAATTAAACACCGTTTGTATCTTGAGAAAGCAAATGCATTGCTTGAATATTTACTGTCTATGCAACAACTCATCCTGCTACATTCTAATCCTTTTCCAAAGATGAAAAAGTGAAAAAAGGGGAAAGCACATTTCCCTAAAGACATGTTTTGTATAAGATACGTATATGAGTGTAAACTTGACTAGGCAGGGCCTAGTACTTTGACAGCCAAATAACATCAAGAACAACAGAGATTGCGAGCAAGAAGGAGCTAAGAAAAGCGAAGGCAATTGAGACAGCTATGTGGTTGCAAAATATATGCAGGGGCTTACAGATTCCCGGCAGAGGTGCATGCCGGATTCCAGTACGGTTCAGGTTGGTCACCCCAGATGCAGCTGATCCTGCACTCAACATTGCATATGCAAATACCTGCAACAATAACCAGAACGAGTCATTCATATAGAACACGTTCAATTCCATCAGTTGATTTCATATGAAGCTAGTCTACAAGGTTTTGCACTCTACATATTTATATTTGTACTCCTTCCAAACTGAGCCTACAGAAAAATGTTCAATTTGTAAACATGTATCCAGTCTACTTTAGTCTCGGACGATCTGTGCCATCTTACTTAATCCACACTACTAAGTCAAAATTTGGGTTTGGGGTCTAGATCTATGACGTGTCCACATCAATTTTCAGTTAATGCGGTTTACATAGTCATCTCTTTTTAAGTTACCAAATATAAAGCATATTGTGAAACACTGAAACATTGAAATTTTTTTCATCATTAGTGAAACACAGTACTTCAAAGGAAGCACAATATGGATATAAACCAAGAAAAGTTTTGCAGCAAACCAGAGAATTAGAAAGGAAGTGCCTATCAATTATCCATGCTCAAGAAAACATGCTAACACAAGATGACTTGCTGATGCAACCATTCCATCCTCAGACTAAGTAAACCCCCTCTTCCTACAATATGATCGTAGCAAAGACCATTACCCAGCATTGGTCCCAGTTATCTGGGGTCTTGGGAGGGTTAGACTGGATGCATTTTTTTTGCACAGGGTGATCACTCTCAGAATCGAACCTGCATTCTCAGACTAGCAAGGCAACCTTTAAATATTGAATATTTTCTCAGTCGCTTCCACATTCTCTAAGTCTATATAAAGAATGCAATAAATCAAGTAATCATGATCATCCAGTTTAGTTTACCATTGATCCAAGATGAATCCTAAGAACAGCCACTCAAGTTCTATCCCCACCAACCTGCATATCTAGCTCATGTACATGTTATGGCCATAGATTTTGAGAGGACTCTAAGTGAATAAAACCCTTCTCTGGAAGAACGCTCTTTCCTAAAATAAACACTTAATTACTTAAAACAAAGGTAATGAATCGCCATCCACTTAAAAGGAAATGAATTAAAAACTGCAAAGAGACTGAATGTACCCTAAAACAAAATTTCCTCGTTTCAAAGTTTCAAGACAAATAACCACCTATAAAAAGATTTTGCGTTTCAAATTTTTGAAGCTAACTACCATAGAAATGAAGAATGTGTGTCTACCATTTTGGTTCAGTAAGGGAAACAAACTTCATTTTTGCTTTCCTACTTCATACTTTATTTTCTTTTATGCCCCTTCACAACGAAGTTATTTTCGAAGCTGGCCAATCTATCTGAATTTGCAGAGAATCAACAATTCTGCCCACTCACACAAGGGTACACTCAAATCAATTTTACCCACTTAGCCTGAATCTCTGCAACTCTGCAAGATTCAAAGGTATCAACTAATGTTTCCTTGTAGATGCAGAGATTCTGAAAACACGACATTAGACAAATTGAACCAGACCAGGCAAAAATGGACTCTGCTCTTCTGAAGTCTTCCCAGAAGCCCACTGAGTACAACCGGCGGGAGAGATTCAAAGTAAAGGCTGTTTATGACTGATAATTTTCTTCTATTTGAACACAAGATACCTACTTCCGTTGTACCTCAAAGATGAAAATGTTAAAAATCTTAAAAATTGCAGAACAGCAGAACATGAACTAAAAAGGGACCGGCTTTACCTGGTCGCCGGCAAAAATAAGCCAGGCGTGGCTCCGAGAAGGAATTACTGGCGATTTCTTCAGCAATTTCATCACATTGATAATCAGTTGGAGCAGGGAATGGGCAGCCACAGCTGCAGATATTCCAACCAGGTACCTGCCAGTAAACCGAAAGATGTAATAATAGAGTTAATAGTGAACTTAGAGTCTTAATCAATTCGACATTAGATTGTACGACCCAAAGCGCAATTCCTCAACAAATTCTGCGGATTCATTTGGTCAAAACAACGAAGAAAAAGAAATTCATTCACGGGTAGTCATATTTCTGATCATCCGAAAAAGGAAAAGAAAGAAAAGGCTTCTGTTCATCCGAATTCCAAGGGCCAAGAGAGACCCTTTCCCGTACTCTATTGTCATCCGGAAAATTTTGTCGGTGTTAAAATATTCGGCCGAAAGCAGAAACGAAGTACCAAGACCACGAACAAAAAAGCAACGAATGAAAACACAGAACTTTGAAAATTCGAATTTTTTTCTACAAAAGAAAAGGAAAAATCGAATTCCAGCCTCCAGGTCCTTTTTTTTCTGGTCGACCCCGTAAATAAATCAAAGGCACTGGACAGTTCAGTCAAATAGAAAAATTAAAAAAAAAAAAAAAAAAAAAAAATTGGCAACTCCCTGAACAAGGAAGTCCAGCGCTTAGTTAAGACTTAAGAGCAGAATTCAGGTACGGGTGTTTCGGAGAAGGCTTACTCGAAGGAATCGGAGAAGGACCACTTGGAGTAGACGGGGAAGCTGAAGCCGTAGATGGAGATGGTGGATGACTGCTGGGCGGAGGCCATGAAAGACAAGGAGAATATAGACGTTATTAGGCAGGCTAGGCGGAGACTGGCGTGTGCCGGGTCCGTTTTAGGGCGAGCATTCTGGTTTGGTCTGTCCGTCACGAGTGGCCCGCTCATGGTGAAGCTATCAGCCGCAACCTTGGATTCCGGCATTTGAATCCCTACCTCCGACAGATTCTTCCGACCGTTGGACATTTTCCGTTCCTTCACCTCCACTCTGACTCTTGACTCTGCTGTCAATTTTCTCCGGAGTCCGGACCTTGGACCTTTGTGCGGTAATGCGCGGGCTTTTAAAAGAGGTAGGTCCGAAGGAAGGCAGGCAGGCATCGATGACCGTACCATTACACGTGGCGAGTAGTGTGGGACCCGCAGCTGTTCCCGTGACTGAATAGTGAATATACCGAGGAAATGATGCCTCCCTTTCCTGTCAGTTTTCAGTGGTCTCAAGTCTCAATTCAAGGCATTCAAATTTGAGACCGGATCTGCTCCTCACAGGCGCCTCACACATACATTGTAACATCTCCCGTACTTATCGGAGATGTTCCCAATACACGGTGGATGTGCTTGTGAGGCGCCCATTTGTGAGGAGCAGATCCCGTCACTTCAAATTTCAATTGATTATTGATCTGATGTCCCATTGAACCGAACGGTTCCGTTCAATTTGCTTTGGCCCATGAGCCCATGATCGAAGGCGATTTTGATTTTGACGCTTTTTCCTCCTCAAGATCATTTATGTTGAGGCCCGAATTAACTGATCCGAACGGGGCCCATCCATAAAAAAGTGCAAACCCGGTCTTAATGAACTTCACTTGATTGAAGAAATGGCCAAATGGGCTCCCCTCCCCCTCCTGCTCTGTTCCAGCTTCCGGCCAACGGTCTGAATGAACTTCACTTCACTGTAAATGGTGATTCTTAAGACTGCGCTGGGCTGATGTGGGACGACCTCCATTGACAGCCACCTGATTGGAATAAATAGTGGTGCCCACACCCTTCACTGGTCTTAAATTACTTTGAAGGTGATCAATCAAATCCACTGATCTTACTCCTTTGACAGTCGAGAGCCACCTGATTGGATTGCTGAAAGGTATTTATTTGGCAATGGCCATCAATGACCTTACTGCCCATGTGAATTGTGAAGACGCCTAGACGGAGACACTTCCGTTACGGTCGGGGTCGGGGTCGGGGTCGGAGTACATGGAAAACTTAAGCTGTTGGAATTTTCAAGTAGAAAACGTTACAACTTAACAGGTGGTGTCTGTGTCTCTATTGTTTTACTAGTCGGTCTTTATTCATGTAGTCCCAACTCTGAATGAAGGAATCGACCAGACGTGGACATTGAACCAGTCCCACCCACCACACCAGGGGTGGGACCACAAAATGGGCAGAACAGAAGCGGACCGTCGAAGTTCACCTTCGTTCCTCCATTTAGGGAATGCTTGTACTGCCGCGTGGCAACCTCTGACTCTTCTCAGGACTCAGGAGTAGAGATGGTAGATTGGTAGGTAAAGGAAATCTAAATCAAATTTATCATTTTTTTATCAATACATCGTATCACTAAATTAAAATAAAATAAAATAAAATAATGGGTAAAATGCAAAATCCTCCACTGAAGTTTATGACAATCATAAAAATCTCTCCTTAAGATTGCAACTTGGATTGGGTTGGGTTGGGTTGATGTTCGGGTTAGGGTTAGGGTTGGGGTTGAAATTTATGAACCCGACTTTATTTTAGGTTGGGTTAGGGTTGATCCCTTAACCAATCCGAACCCAACTCTATAGTACAAGTAATATATAAATATATGTTATACGTAATATATAATATACATTGATTTGTTTAGATGCATGATATTTGTATAGTCCCACCACATAGTATCATGTATTTCTTTTAAGATAATCATTTCACTTAATCCTAATCAGAAAGACTAAAACCTTAATAACATTATTTTATGTTTTTTTTAAATTTTATTTTTCATCTCCTCTATATTGTTTGCCACCCAAGAAAGATCTATCGTAAGTCATAACTCATAATAAACTATAGTCATTTCTAACACTTGTTTTTCTGAATTTTGTACCAAAAGAACAAAAAAAAAACATCAAAAAACAAATATTAATGAAATATAGGATTAATATATGTAGTGAAAGTTGAGTTAAGATCTAAAATCGATAAATTTTATGAGGTTTTAAGAGATGGGAAGAAGGTTGGGTTGGGCCCAACCCGAGCTCAACCCAACCCAAAATTGACTTCTGGTTGGGTTGGGTTAGGGTTGAAGGAATTTAGTTAGGGTTAGGGTTAGGGTTGAGTTGGTCGGGTTGAAGTTCGGGGGGCGTTTGGCACGTCTTTCCATGCGGTTTTTCGATTGTTTACAAGTCAAGTAGACCGAAATTCGGTCTATTTCAGTTTGGCGTGCGAAAAATCTAGCTGCCAAAAGACGGAACACCGAAAAGATGAAAAAAACCCATTTTTGGTTGATTTCATGAAGCTCCAAATGGAGCTTTTTCACGTCTTTTGCGTTTTATGCTCGCATGGGAAGGAAGACACGGAAAAACAAGCATATGCCAAATGGTCTTTGGACTGCCCAGATCTTATATCAAAAGCTCAATGTGTCTTTTGACTGTCAGAGCTACAAGAAGATCGTCTCAAAAAGACTTACCAAACGGGCCTTGGTTGGGTTAGGGTTAGGATTGGACTAGGGTTGGCCTCAACCCGACCTAACCCAGCCTGACTTATAGCCCTAGAAAATATATTAAATTTCTAAAAATGATCTCATTCGATTAACATCACTCTTGCGATTTAATGAGTCTTTTTTCAGAACAAAAGAATAGAGCTTAAACCCTAACAACACTAAACACTTGCATGCAACCATCATTCAAAATATTCCATTCACCTAAGAATATTTCCCATTTTCTGGAAACCATTCTTCATCAACCACTGATCTTTACTGGCAACTGTTCTTCACCAGTAGTTGTTCTTCATTGTCTGCAATATCTATTTCCCCCCTCAAGCAATTTCTAACCAGAGCTTTTTTTCGTTTCTCTTGCTATGAGGATTTGCATTTCACAAATAGATGTGAGTATTCTCACCAATACCGCATGGAAAAATAACCGGACCAAACAGAGTTATGCTTCATTGAATCCAAAAGCACAAATTCATTGAAGCCCACAAAAACCAAATCAGAGATTCAATAAATGACATTTGGTATGACCCAAAATGAGATAAGAAGATGCATTCAAAAGTGTCCATAAGTACATAAAACCCAAAAACAAAATAGGGGGAAAAGTTGAACAGTGAAACAATATTTCTGATATGCAATCAAACCCTTCATCATTTGGCATTTCCACTAGAAAACCAATATCTTAAATCCAAGATGTGATTAAAAAATTAGGTGGCTTTTAAGTTGATTAACACACTTCTCAGCCAACCTTCTCGTGAAGAACAATCACCTGCAACAGTTCACCTTCTAATCTATAGCTAAAGTTCAAATTGTATCTGTGTTTTCCTATGCATAAACTAGAAACTTTTCCTCACAGACAATCTCCAGTGGTCAAATGTTGTTTCCCTTTCTGATTGGAATAAGTTTCAGAGCTGAAAGAGTCAACCGTGGTTGCTACTTTTTCTTGAATTGATGAAGTCTTAAGAACCGGAGATTGAAAGAGGAGAAAATGATAAATATTCTTTCAGAGTTCCTCTCTTCTTGGGTTGATGGAGTTTTAAACAAGGTTCCTAGTTAATGAAATTCAAAATGGGAGATTATAAGAGAAAGACATCAACAAGAGGGTAGAAATGGGTATTTGAAAATAACTGATGTTTGGTCTAACGTTTCATGTCTGCAATGGTGACTAAAAGGAGGTTTATGTTGATTTTTTCAAAAGTTCAATGGATGTGTTTATTAAAATGAAACTAGAACGGAGGTTTTTATGACAGTCAAAAACTTCATGGAAAATTTTTGTATTTTACCCAAGAAAATAGCTGATCGGCCTCGCCCTAATCATCAAAGTCAGCCCTATTGCACGGGTCCCACTCCCAATCAAGATGACATGTCAATGTCGGAAATAATGAAGTGATTGTCTTTCCAGATGACCCCAGCCTCGGTCCTCAGTAGAGTTGTGATCGTTCACCTACAACCTATGGTTGGTTAACGACAAGCTTCCTTCACCATGTCAAAATAAATAATTGAATAAAAAATTCCAGAAAATAAAAACATCTTTTTGAATATAAAGGAAATTTTATGGCTCTATGATGCCGGGAACACATGACACCGGTGGACTTTGACCAATCAAGACACCCCAACACCCCATATATATATTGGATGGATAGGGGTGCTCACAGTTCAGTTAATTGAATCATAGGTCTTTTTTTAATCGAATCAGTATTACCAGTTTTTAGAAAATTGATAACCGAAATCAAATGGAAGCCGATTAGTTAATTGGTTGACTGTTTCGATTCATCGATTTTTTAGTTTTTTAATTTTTAAAATATATTATAAAAATTATAAATATATATAATATTATATTTTAAATAATAAATAATAAATAATAAATAATATATCATATATTATAAATATATATATTTATATATAATGCATATTTATTAATTTATAATATAAAAAATATATAATATACATAAATATATATAAATATATAAAAATATATGTATACCAACCCATTCGGTTAACCGCTGATTTTCTATATTAATTAATCGAAACTAAATCGATATCTTCGATTTTTTTAAAACACCAAATCAAAATCAAACCGATTAATTCAGTTAATCGATTTTTTGATTTGGTTTCGATCAATTAGATTTTTCAATTTTTTTCTCACCCCTAGATAGGGCCACTCGAGGGAGGGGGGAATAAATATGGGATGGGGGCCAATCATCCATTAACTAAGGTGGAGATTTGGGGCATGGGAGACCCAGGGGAGTGCCCATGGTTAATGGTGAATCTGTAAGGTACAAGAGAAAAACAATTTGTGTGCATTTAAGTACGTGGGAGTTGGGGCAGGCACCCCCTCCATTTAAGTACTTGCAATCTGCTGATCGCCATCCTGTGTAAAACTCTACGTAGACCCAAACTCATGGTGTGCAGGGCAGGGCAGGGCATTGGCATGCTCACTCGCTATCGGTTACAGAAGTATGCAAACAGCAGATCCAGGTTTCCATTTAAGGGTGTATCTTACTTCCTAGATAACGTTCAAAGTATCGACACGTATCAGTCTGTATTGGTCGATACGGCACCCCTCCAATACGCCCCTATAATAGGTGTATCAGGGGTCTGATTGGTCCAAGGGATGGAGGAGACCTAAACCGGCCCCTCTGAACCGATTGCAAAAAAAACATAAAAAAGGGTATTGATTCGCCTGATACGTCCATAACAGCATATTGATATTTTGAACCTTGTTCCTAGACATCATTCCATGTAAGTCGGTCCTAGACTCCTAGTCAAGTTTGCACATGCTGAAATCATGGTCACAACATTTTCTTGCGACCGTCCAATAACCTATCACCCAAGGTTCAAAATATCGATACGCTCGATAAGCCGATAGGGGCGTATCAGGCGAATCGATACACATTTTCAAGCCCTTTTTTTATTTTTTTCGCAGCCGGTTCAGGGGGGCCAGTTTAGGTCTCCTCTACCCCCTGAACTGGTCAGACCTCCAATGCACCCACTGTAGGGGCGTAACGGAGGGGTCCCGAAATGATAAGTATCAGCCTGTATCGGCCGATACGTGTCAATACTTTGAACCTTTGCTATCACCAGGTGTTTTGTGTTTTGCCAAACTTTAAACAAATGAGAATCTTTTTCGTATCCCTGTTCAGCTGTTCTATTATTATTTAGGGAAAATTTTCTATTACCACTTTGTACTTTGGCCTATTGCCATTTTGGCCCTTAAACTTTAAAGTGCGATAGTTCAGTACCTGAATTTTCAAAACATGTTAATCTAGTACTTACCATTAATTAGCTATTAATCAGCTATTAAATGACATTTGAAAAAAACATAAATGCCCTTTGATTATCATCTAATTTTCTTTATCAATCATTCAAATGTTGATAAAAAATTAAAAGTCCTAAATCCTTGCCTCTTTTATTCAAGAAAGTTGGGGTTTAGAATGCTCAACGTGACCCCAACTTTCTTGAATAGAAGAAGTAAGGATTTGGGATTGTTAATTTTTTGTCAACGTTTGGATGGTTGATAAAGAAAATTAGATGACATTCGAAGGGCATTTGTGTCTTTTTCAAATGCTACTTAATGGTTTGTTAACAGATGGTTAACAGTAGGTACTGGATTGACATATTTTGAAAGTTCAGATACTGAATTGTCGCATTTTAAAGTTTGGGGACCAAAGTGACACTAAACCCAAAACACAAGGCACTAATTGGAGATTTTCCCTATTATTTATTCATTTATTGGGCCATTGCAAGCCTGTCATGCAATGCGGTTGCGAGTTCAGATTTAGATTTGCGTCGCACATGCACATCTCAACGTGTATAGGAAACATCTCCCATACACGGTTGGGATGTGCTGTGAGCCACGCATGGGGCACAGATGTGAATTCGATAGTTTCCGTGTTGGAGTAAGTGCCAAGCTTAGAATTGATGCAAGTACGGATATTTGTGCTTAGGTGAAGGTGTTTGAAATTTTGAGTTGTAGGTCTATAATGAAATTCAGAATTCTGAGGTATTCACCCTGGTTGGTTTTGATTGGTCAATTCGACCTGCGAGAGAGAAACTTCACCTTGATTGATGACTTGATCACCAGAATGTTAGCAATGATGCGGGCCATAGGGTACAAGTCGGGCCAGGTTGGGTCAGATTGAAGTTAACCCTAACCCAACCCAATGACTTCGGGTTTGGGGTTGGATTAGATTGCATTCTGGTTAGGTTCATATTATCCCAATTTCTTCACTTCCCTTGTGCTTTTAAATAAATGTTCTTTCTTAAACTTTCATATAAACTTAAGATTAGCCAATTAAAATTATGCATGTATGTTTTTGACACGTGCACCTGCTTATGTATGTATGTATTTGATATTTATACATACATATGTGCATCTAAATGCAGGCATATGCACATGTACATATTTGATATTGATATACAAATATGAGCACATGTTAGCTTCAGGTTGGGTCAGGTTAAACCCTAGGCCAACCCGAAGTTAGGTTCATATTTTCCAACCTTAAGCCTAACCCAACGTCAACCTTTTGGGTTGGATTGGGGCTAATCCAGCCCAATCTGCACCCTTATACAAGGGTACAATCAATTACCACATAGAGATGAACATGGGCATGGCCGGGTTGGTCCGGGTTTTTAAAGTACCAAGGAACGTACCGCACCTGAGCCCACATTTTGTTCCACATGATCGATTGACAATAGTGAACAGTAGCACACAAAGGCCTGAAAGCCCATGTGGTTTAGCAGTGCTCAACTGCTCATAGATTCATTTCAATCTGTAAGAAAATAAATATAAAAATTCATCAAATTACAGTTATTATAATCTAGACCCAAATACATCAACTTGGAAAGAACACAGTAAACCATGATTTCTCTACACCACCCATTTGGATCATAATCTCTCCTCAGTCAAAGGGTCTACAAGTGTGTGCAAAGAGGGGAGGGGTAAGATTTAGATGATGTACAGTAATCAAATTTATCTCGACAGATGCAATTGAAAAAGTTGTGCACGTTCATCCAGCCCCTGTTCCACAGCTGCATTCTCATCTCCTTGTAGGAAAGGAATGTTCAGGAACCAACTGAATAACCTTTAAACCTACCACAAAAATTAACTTCATCATCTGCACTGCAAGCCAGAACAGGAACCACACGAACAAACAAGAAAATATGAGATGATATAAATAGGACCTTTTAGGGGGAAATCTCAGAAGGAACGAATGGGAATGAAGTAAGAATTATTACCCAACTTGTATCAAGTTGGTCCATTTTTCTTGGAGGCGATCAATATATACTCACACTCTCCTTGAAATAGCATAACAAGGGAAAAAGCTTGGAGTCCTAGAAGAATATGTCTGAATCAATCTGTTGAAGATTTGGGAAGATACTTCGAAGAATAGCAGAGTAATTTGATGAAGTTGCCTGCAAAACAAGAGCAATCATACAATCAGTGCTAAGGGACTACCTAAAGATCACATGAGACTTGATATTTATAGATTGTGCATAACAGTGTTAGAACCAGCTCATAATTAAGTGTGCATAACTAAGGTCCCAACCCAATAAGTAGATGTGCAGAACCATTTCTTAACCAGACCCTATAGGGTCTATAATTGGGGCTATCGGGTCTGACCTGATAAGACCTGATTCTAATTGGCAACTATACTTTTAACCTGTAATTTGACAATAATCCTTCTTATTTGTTAAATTGAGACATTTGGACTTCATAATATGATAGCATTAGAAGTATATCGTCCCAAAAATAAGTTTTTTCCCTTCCATGCGCTATTCTATAAAATAGAAGTAATATACCGATTCTGAAGAGATTAATAAGAAATGAAATTGTTTAACAGTGGCTGGTAGGAATGGTATCTCATACTTGATGATTGTCCAACTAATTTAAGTCCCCAAGGAGAAAGAACTGAAGAAGGCTATAAATAGAAGGTATTTGAAGTAGGGCATACAGTGGCAGTGTTACAAGTGAGAAGAATAAAGTAGACCTGGGAGCTACTCCAATAAGTTTGGTTCCTTTTCCTGGATGAGCCATCCATACAGAAAGTAAAATTGAGAATGATGTGACCAATTGAAACAGATTTGGACAACAATAGAAAACATGGGCCTCTATTTTTTTTTATGAATAAAACATGCGCCTCTATTGTGCAACATAACCTATATACACTAATCAAATTCAAGCAAAACTTAACGAGATTATGTCACGACTGCATGCTTCCTTTGTTGTGAGATATTAATTATCAACAAGCATCATTTTCATAGAATGACCAAAGCAAAAATAAGGATATTGAGACTCTCAAAATGGATGGAGCAGCCATAGGTGATAAAATAAGTAAAGATGATTCTGATGGTTTTGACATGCATAATAATCATAAAAATAGACACATATAGTGATGAAAAACTAAAACACCAGTGGAAGGAGACCCCAAGGGTAAGATCACTGGTGCTACATCAGATTCAATACAGGTTTAGAAACTTGAATGAACAGGAAGTGGCCCTAGATAGGTTTGCAACCACAAAATTTCTATTACCCACTCCTAGGGGTGCAAATGGATCGGATCATGATCCGATCCGAAGTCCCATCCTATATTGTCCGATTCGGATATCCATGTTTCGGATTTTTCGGGCTGGATCAAGTCGGATTGGATAATCGGATCTGGTTAAACAGATTGGATTCAGAACAGCCCCTACCCAATCCAAAAGGATCCAATCCAATATATGTTATTTATTTATTTATAAATATGTTATTTATATTGCATTTTTGTAAATTTTTTATATTTTTTATTTTTTATAAAAACAGTATATATATATATTGATGAAAATAGTTAAAAAAATACTTGTATTTTTTGTTTCTCTTTATTTAAACAGTTATATCTTCCTTTCCTTTTAATAATTTATTATTATTTTTTAAAACATCGGATCAGATTCGGATATCTGACATCTTGATCGGGTTCGAATTCAAATCAGTAATTATGAGATCCGATTGGATCTTCAGATCAGATCTACAGTGTTTCGGATCGGATTCAAATCAGATTCAAATATACCCTGATTCAAATCCGATCCAATCCGTTTGCATCCCTACCCACTCCAAATGGCCAGAGTAATCAAAAAGAAAATGATTGTTACTATGCTGCTTTCCTTAGTTTCACATTCATGATGTATTGCACTTAACTTAGGAATAAAACGTCATAAACATATCAGAATCAGATAAATTAATAGCTAAATAATAAAGATAAAAATAAATTGCTAGTTACTGGCAGAGAGAGCAAAAAAAGCTCAATACTTGATACTAGACCTATCACAACTCAACCAGGTTCGGTTATAGTCAAATGAGTTAGAGTTTGGCAGGTTGAGCAACTCAGGTTGATCCTTGTGGCAGGTGAGGTTGCAGTTCCCAGTTCCTAGGTTTGGCCCCAGGTTGGCCCACAACCCGACCTGCCTTGTGCTTCTACATTGAAATGGCTTTTGCAAGAAGTAAATGAAGAATGACTAAAATTGGCAGATTTGCCACCAGGAATAGGGAAAAAGGCAAAACAAAATTTCAATATGTTAGAATAACAGACATAACCAAGAGCCAAGAGTATGTATGACCTTTCAATAGAAGATGGCAATAGACCAAAAGTAAATTGGAAATAACATATATGGGCAATTGGCATTATGTGAAGAACAACTAGAGCCTTGTTAGAGATCTTAGGAACCATACACATTGATTGCGCTCAAGATAAATGGTGGTGAGCTTTTTGCTTGAACCTGCGACAGCTACATCAATGCCTTCAAGTGATGCAATTTGGTTGTCATTGAGCCACAGATCCTCCAACCTGCAAAGTAAATCCTTGTTATTACTAAGAATAAAAAGGGCCTAACCTGATCCATGTAAGACATCCATGCATACCTTGTCAGGTGTTCAATGTCATCAATGGTTGTTAACTTATTTGAAGAAACATCCAGAACACGCAGATTAGCTAAGGTGGATAGCCCTTCCATCTTTGAAATACCATTATGGCTCAAGTATAGCTCTTCTAAAGAAACGCAATCCTACAAATGGTGAAGAAAATTGAAGAAACAAAATAAATAAATGCATGTAGAGTTGTTATACAAAGTTACAAACTAATTTATTTGCTCAGCCTTTCTATCTAAATGTTTCCCATCAAACAACTAACGGTCAACAGTGGCAAACCTGAAATCCCAACATGGATGTCAAGCGGTTGCTCTGCAAGCTAATCTTCTTGATGCATCTTAGTCCACACAGGTTTACTGTTCGGATGCGATTGCGTCCCAGCCACAGCTCTTGTAAATGTGCTAGGTTTTGCAAATTCTCTATTACCTGGAGTATAAAAGTGAATATTTAACCATTTGAATTAAAAGGGAGAGAGGGAGGGAGAGGAGGAGGGGGAGTCCTATGCATTTGGCACTCCATACTGATATTAGTTTTGCAACAGTAACATTTTTTTTTCTTTCAAAGAGACCAGAATGCTAACCCGTAATCTGTTGGAGCCCAGCTCAAGAATTTGTAGATCATGGAAGTGGTCGAGTTCCTCCATCTTAGTCACTTCATTCTTAGAAACATAGAGTTCCTTGAGCGTGTTCGTGATCTTTGATAGACCATTTAAGGAAGAAATCTCGTTGAAAGAAACATCAAATACAAGAAGGCTTTTGAAAATACTGACATCTGGTATCTTCTTAAGCCTGTTGTCCCTGAGAACTAGCTCCTGCAAAACAATGCCAAATTCGTTTTAAAATGGCCTATACACTACAAATACACGAATAGAAGGGAGAAAACTCTTTAGACATATCCACTATTGGAAAAAGCAATTCATACGAAATGCAGATCAATTAATTTTCAGGCCGAATTAGTTAAATCCAAATAAGCTTCAGAACGCCATTAACTTTATATAGGAGATGAGTACAAATAATGATAGGGGTGAGATTGAATACTTCAAGGGCCGATATGGAATCCCATCGAGAAATTGGCTCGATTCCGGCGTCATCAAATAAATTTTGCCGCAGATAGAGCTTTTTTAGCTCCCTGAGGAGGGCTATTCGAGGATCCAACGTGCATAAACGATTGGCCGTTAAATCCAACTCGAATAAACTCGGAGGAAGCTCGATTCCATCGAGGTCATGGAGCTGATAGCTGGTGAGATCGAGATAAGAACACGATGAATTTTCTTCGACCGTTCCTCCCTCGGATGCTCCGTGATTCTCTTTAGGGATTCGTGAGGATTCATCCTCCATTAATGCAGAACAAAACCCTTAGGGACTCTATTCAAATCCCTCGAAAGCAGCGAGCCCTGAGACTTAGATGTACCCTTGGAGTTGCAGGAACAATGACCGGTTGGCTGTTTTGCTCCCTCCGAGCGCGCTCTTGCGCAAGAGACGACAAAGATGCGGGGGAAACGAAGGAATGGCGCGAGGAAAGATGCTAGACATGAGACATCTCCCCTCAAGGCCCATTGGCCCAACCCAAGGCTCCGCTTGTTTGCAATGCGTATTCATTTGCACTGGTACAAACTGCATGGGAGTGCAAATGAAAAAAGTGCACATTCCGGTTCATTTTTGCTTCAATTTTTATCACACTTGCAAACTTTTGTTCGTAGCAGATTCCTCCACCATGCGCCCAATAAATTTATAACAAAAATATGTTTACTGCACCTTAAATCAAGATTTCAACTAATAACATTTTTTAGCTTCTAGGGTCTATTTCTTACCAACTCCAATTTGTTCCGCCCAAAATGGGAATGGGTTTTGTTCATATTTGTTGCTACATAGTATGCAACAACATTGGACAAATTACAAACACTCATCCTATATTTGGGAGGCAGTTTTAGTGACAATTTAGCCCCCTGAACCGGAATGATATTCTCATTCTCAACAGGGAGGCTAGTATGGCCATTCCCTCAAATGAGGAATGCCATTCTGTCAGGAATGGTTTGAGAGGAGAAAAGTTGGTCGATGGGATTTTGGTTTCAATTAACCAAAAAACCCATATTCTTTTTTCAGATTTATGTAGGGATTAGGAAAAAAAAATTATTTTCCTGGGATTCCCAAGTGGGTAACCACCCAGGGGAAAGTTACCAATACTTGGATGGGACAAAATTGCCCCTTTAAATAATTGATTTTTATGGCTAAAATGGTAATTGTCTTATTTACTTGGAAAATAAAAAAAAACACAGGTAAATACACTCACCCAAATAAGTGTTTCATGATAAGAAACTTATTGAAAAGTGAATGGGCCTAAATCCCATTTCACCCAACCAAACAACTGGAATCAAAATGTGTCATTCTGATTTTAATTTCAAACCTTATTCACAAGCCAAATGGACCCCAATTTCTCTGTTGAGATCAACCTCAATAGGTGGCAAGTTGCAAAGCCCCTGAATCCATCTAGGGTCTGATTCCTATGCCTTTTTCTTTCTTTGTTCAGCGATTCCTATGCCTCAGAACCAAGGCAATGCCATGAAAGAAATGTCATAAAGAATAGAGAGATAGATCAAACAAAAGACTAGCTAATATCTTGGGTCCGACTATGATGCCAGAAAGACATGATACTGGAAAAAAAAAGAAAAAAAAATTATAACCAATCAATTGGTAGCACCATAAAAGTGTAACCAATCAGGTGGGTTTTCATCAAAATTTGTAGGGGGTTTGATTGGTCAAATCCTTTCCAGTATTATGTCTTTTTAGCATCATAGATTTTTCGTATATCATATATTACATACACTCAAGGCTAATCTATACTACTTTGAAAAGTACGAATGACCTCAAGAATATTTCTGCAATTTTCTGAGGACAATATTTACCCCTCTATATTTAAATTTAATGATAAAAAAATGAGGGCAAATAGGGTAATCGGTTCTTGATATTAAATGAGTTGAAAAGAGGTAATTTAAAGATATTCAATGCATTCAATTCTCTCTCATTAAATCCAATATTTAAGTTATTAATTTGCATTCATGTTCATTGAATCATATATTTAAGTCATTTTTATTTCTTCTCATAATTAAGTTCTATTAATTAAATCCATACTTAATAAATTAATAATTCCAATAACATAAAAGCTTATATACTTTTAAAATCTACCTAGAAAAAAATAGTGTTTTCATCTAAGTGGTGGTAAGAAATTAAATCATTTTGGGTCAAATGGGTTAATCCATGTTGCCACGATTAAATAATAAAATTAAAAAATAGAAAAAATGAAAAAAAAATAAAAATAAAAAAATGGGAACATTTTTAGCATACATATTAAACAATAATAAGTATGATAAATAAGAAATGTTTTTATTAATTATGAAAATGGAATGTAAAATTTAAAACCAATTGGAAATAAAAATATTTTCCTATTATCTCTCATTAAATCATATATTTAAGATATATTTTTCTCATCATTAAATTCTTGTAATTAAATCCATAATATTAATTTTAATAGTATAAAAATAAATATTTCGAAAAGTAATTTGAAAACAAAATTATTTTCTTCCCTTCCGGTGGTGGACAAGCAATTCGACCATTTGGGATCAAATGGATTAATAAATAATGCCATAATTAAATAATAAAAATTTTAAATAAATAACTATGAAATATAAGAAGTATTTTTATTAATGATAAAAATGGAATGCCAAATTCAAAATCTACCAAGAAATTAAATGATGTCATAGTCAAATAATAAAATTTTTAATAATAGAACATACAAAGAATCACAAAAATAAAAAAAAAAAGATAGAGAAAAATTTTGGCACATATCTAATGTTATATATTTATAAAAAATAAAATATTAGGTACATCTCTAATATTGTACATTCATTATATTGAACAAAAATAAGTTTTATACATAAGAAATAATTTAATCAATGATGGAAATGTAATACAAAATTTAATGTCAACTTAGAAATTAAACAATTTTTTATTTTTAGATGGTGGGTTAGTGGTTTGAGTAAAATGATACCATAGACAAACAAAAATTAAGTTTGATAAATAAAAAATATTTTATATAATATAAATGAAATATATAATTTAAAGGGAAAATTATAGTCAAAGTCAATTGTACATTTAAAATTAGGTTGCAAGTTGGTCCGGAAACCAACAAAACTCTAACAACCGGCTCTACATTTCAAATTATAAAAACCCTGCCATGTCATTAGAGGCTTATGTGATTGTTGCCAACATGGGACTCTTATTCCATGTTGGACACAATAAAAAAAAAATATATCAAAAATAGGTTTTCAGTTTCTCCCATTCTCTCTGTCTTTTGATCTCTCTCCCTTCTCTCTCACTCTCACAATCATCTCTCAATCTCTCGCTCCATCTGTCTTTCCCACTCTCTCAGCTTCGGTCTGTAGCCAAATCAAAACCTCTCTCTCTCTCTCTCATGTTCTTTTATACAATCTGATTAATACCATATAAATGTGTAAGAAAATAAAAAAAAATGAGAGAGGGAGAGGGAGATAAACTGAGGGAGAACAATAAAAATTAAGGGAGAATGAGAAATCGACCAAGAAAGAGAATGAGAGAGATTGAGGGAGAATGATAGTTAGAGAGAGAGAATGAGAGAAATTGATATAGAAAATGTAAATATAGAAACCAAAGACTTCTTTTTTATTTTCAAATCACATAGTTGTTGAGCAGATAAAAATGACTGAGTGAGAGTGTGGAGATTGAGAGAGAGAGAGAGAGAGAGATCTAGAGAAACTAAAAACTTTTTTTTAAATTTTCCAATCTCCCAACATTAAAGGCAATTTCAGTATAAGCTTTTTGTTATGTCTAATATGGACTAAGAGTCCCATGTTGGCAGTAGCCACATAACCCTCCGATGACATGGCAAGGGTTTTTATAATCTAAAACATAGACTCGATTGTTAGAGTTTTGTTGGATTATGGACCAACTTGTAGCCTAATTTTAAATGTACAGCTGACTCCGATTATAATTTTTCCTAATTTAAAACTAATCCAAAAGCAATGCTATTTTCTTATCTAGATGGTGGGTCAATGATCAAACTTTTCAAAGAAACACATGATGTCATAATTGAATAATAAATATTTAAGTTTATTTTTGAACATATTGTTATTTTGGTTAATTTTCAATTTCTATTTTAACTATGAAATATTTGAAATTCAAGTAATAAATATGAAAAAAAATTCTCATGTGCAACGCATGTACTTAATTACTAGTCCTCTCAAAAGTTTCAGACAAATCACTTCATATTAGGGGTGAGCAAGAAAAACCGAACTGGCCGAAAAAACTGACCAAAACCAAATCGAAAAATCAGTTAACCGAACCAGTCGGTTCAGTTTCGGTTCGATATTCTTAAAACACTGCTAATTTCGGTTCGATTTCGGTTAACCATTTAAAAAATCAGCGTTTAACAGAACCAACCAATATATGTACAGTAATATATATTTATATATATATATATATATATTATATTATATTTTTTATTTTTTTGAAAACCGAATAAAAGAATTAGCAGATTTTCAGCCTTTCTTTTAAAATTTGAACTTTCATTGAAAGTTTTGCCATCATTAAAGTTTGGTAGAGACTTTCATTGAAAATCGAAAATTTCATTGAAAGTTCTGCCAATAATCAATTTTTTATTTTTCTTGTCTTTTCCCCATACCGTGAGTGTAGACTTTTTTTTACTCTTTTCTCTTCTCTCTCTCTCAGTTTTCTCTTCTCTTCCAATCTTCTTCTTCTTCTTCTCCACTCTAGATGGCCGCGCGGTCCGTGCCAACCACCAACACGACAGCACCAAGCGGCAACGTCGGTGGTCGCCGCCTTGCCGGCAAGCAAGGGCTGTTCTGTGTATCTCTCTTTTCTTTCTCTCACCTCTGTTCTCTGCGTCTCTGACAAGCTCTCAGGCTCTCACTTCAAGCTCTCTGCGTCTCCGACAAGCGGCAACACCGGCACCAACCAGTCCGGCATCGACAACAACCACCGATGGTTTTAGTTTTTTTTTTTTAACTGCATAAAAAAAACCGAAAAACCAAACCGCAGTTAACTGGTTACATCGGTTCGATTTCAGTTTGAATATTTAAAAAACCAATCAAATCAGTTCTGTTTGAAAAAACATCCCACGGTTCACTTAACTGAACCGTGAGCACCCCTACAAGAGAAAGACTGAAAAGACTATTTTATCCTTCATTTTTCTTTAAAATTTTAAAATATTAACAATTTAATAAACATAATTTTGTCTTATAGCTTTGGAATCGCCAAGAATTGTCATTGCTATTCCAATCTAAGAGTTCCTAATTATCTACCAAAAAAATAAAAGAGTTCCCAATTTTGGGGAATGATAATATCAAAGTTTACTCTTGCTCTCATTGATTTCTAAGTTTGGAAGAAGAATGTTTCAAGGGAGGTTAATGTTGAAAGGGTTAGGGAAGAAGAAAGGCAAATGTGAAAAAAAAAAAAAAAGAAACTAAAGGGGTTGTGTGCAATTGAGGAATACGGATCAATTTTTTGGGTTTGTGTTGAGTTGTTTTCCTTTCTCTTATTCTGGGCTTCTAGGCTTTGGTGTATCTCCTCAAGTTGCTATTTTGACCACAATAAGGATAAAATTGAAATTTAAAAAATTATATAAGCCACGTGGTATCACATGCAAACGGGTGGTGATGGTGCACAGTGCACTAATGGCAGGATAAACCGATAAAGTTTACAAATGTAAATGACAAAATTGTTGATCACTCAAATGTGAAGGATTAAGTCTGATAGATAAAATGTAAAGGGCAAAATTGTCCTTAAATGTTCATTAAATTTTCAAAGCATGCCATCCACTATTTTTTTCTTCTTTTTCTCTCTTGTTCTTCTTTCCCCCTTACTTTGTTTCTATATGCAAAAACCACCGAACCAAATTGACTTTGAAGTGGTATGTTCCTTCCATTTTTAAGAAACCACTAAAAAATCTTGTAAAAGATAATAAAAAATTGACTATGCCCCGTTGAAGGAGAGAGAGGCAATCTTTCATTCAAAGACGAGAAGAAAAAGAAGCAGTGCCTTCCTTTTCTATTGGACGAGAGTAGAATCATTAATCAAATTCCAATCAAACCATACAGTGATACAACCTTACAAAACCACCATTCATCGCTGACGCTCCTAGTTTAATTGAACACAAGCCTTCTTTTTACATGTTCTGCATCATCTCTATTCCATTCCCGCTACTCTAACTGCTTTACAAAGGGGAAAGGACTACAAAAATAATCAAATTGTAAAAATATATATCACACAGTCGATCTCAAACTGAGCCAAGCTTGTAATTCAAGCTCGAACCTACGACCTTTCCACTCAAGCTAAATTTGAACTCAAGTCTCTATTCTAATTCAAATCAAGTTTAGCAAGCCAAACTCGTATAACTAGATATTCAGCTAGGCTCGATTCAAATCCACCCCTAGACATGTAAGCCTAAAGGCACACCTCCCTCTAGGCGAGGTGTCACCAAAACACCTCTGAAAAAGAAAAAGAAAGAGAAAGAGAATAAGAAGAAAAGAGAAGAGAAAAAGAAGGGAAGGAAGGAGAAGGGGAAAGAAAGTGGGCTAAGGGCTTCATTCACCCCCTACTCCTTTTCAATGCAGCCTAGGTTTTTGACTCCGCTCTGGCCCACTTACCTCTGTTTCAAGTTTCAACAAACAACTATCCCGCCCCCTTCCCCTTCAACTAATGTTATGTTATGAACAACCACCCGGCTGATATGATAAATAAGCCCTGAATTTGAATATCAACAATAGTGTCATCAAATGGGCTAGCTCAGTAGTCAGGAGGCTCGGAGCACTCCAGTAGGTAACTCTCATTAATTGGTTTTTCAATTTACAGCGATACCAGAAGGTACATTTCATTCCTATCAACACGCCGATGCATAAGCAAGAAGAATATTTGAGACCATAGAATCAAGAAATTGGCCCCTAAAGAATAGTCATAAAAAACTTGACTCCGGATATGCCCCGACTTTCACAAGGGCAATGATACATTTCCAGCAGTTCAAAAGCGTTCGACCACCAGTGTAGATCATACCGCTGTATTGTACAGGTTGGAAACATGATTCAATTCAAATGCCAAACATTAAATCCATGATTTTGGATACGACAGATTTTGCAGGAGAGGCAATGGCACCAACTGAACGCTGAGCATTGCCACCATGGTTCTGAACATAATAGGGACGAGGAGTGATCTGCGACCTGGATAGATCAGAACTAGTAGATGGAGGGGGCAAAGTCATGAATCCCTGGTTGTTAAGCCTTTCGTTCAGAGCCTGCCGTTGGATTGGGTCCAAGGGCTTCACTCCCACAATCAGAACTCCATTTATCTGCATTCCGTTCTTATTGAGAGCTTTCTGAGCATCAGAATGGTTCTGCCAAAATAAAGCAGAGTGAGACCAATTACCAAGCATTAAAGATAAAACTAGGTTGTTGAAATCCAAGATTTTTAATAAAATTCACAATCCAAATCATGAATCCTTAAGAACTTACAATTCCATCCTTATTAAAATAATCTTATAATTCAAATCAATTCGATTGAGATATATTTGTCTACTTTCTTTTTTTTTTTAAATTCTATTTTCACGGGGATTTTGTTTTAAAATTCCTATTAGAAAATAATATCTATCTATTTAGGGTATTTATGACCAATTTAACTATTTAAGTACTTTATTGACTTTTTCTATCATATCTTGGTTAAAGAGCCATTATATGTGTGTCAATTGATTCTTAAGTCAGCCATTATAGAGTTAAACTCTATGAGATGATGTACAACAGAACCGACAATTAGAAATTACAAGGCAGATTTCTATCACTTAATAAAGTTTCCCTGTGGGTAACCGACTTGGCCAACTGATCTGCCATAGAGTTTAACTCTCTAGGAACCCAATAAATTTTTGCGTTCAGTGCAAACAAGATATCTCTGGCCTCTTGTAAATAATGAGCCAACCTCCAGTGGCCTTCTTCCTTCTCTCCTAACCACTTGACAATATTAGTAGAATCACCTATAATGGTTAGAAAAGACAAACCCCCTATCTTTTGCTGTTCTGAGGCCTGTGAGAGCTGTGAAGATCTCTGCTTTAGTTAAATCAGCAATCACAATTGGTCCACTGAAAACCCAGCAAATGCTTCCATCCTTCCTCCTCAAAACACCATCAATCCCTGCAGCTCCAGGATTGACTAGGGCACTAACATCAAAGTTTAAGCTGCAATCAGTCTCTTCCCTTGCAGGGTACATTGCCTGGTGGAATTGGGTTCATAAGCACGAGAATGCGGGTCCAAGTCCAAGAGTGACCACTTTGTGCAAAATAATGCCAAAGGTTAGGTCCATATTCAGTCCATCCCTCCAAAGACCCAGATAGCTGGGACCAACATTGGATATCCTTGTTATGCTTCTAGTGTACATGTGGTAAACTCAACCTAAGTTTATATATAGTAGATATGGATTTAAAACAAGGTAAAATCACTGTTTTTATATATCTTTACAAATGCAGTTATTTGCCTTGGATTCATGTCAAAACAACAATCATCCAATATTTTAGTCCATTTGTTTCCCCTCTTGCATGTGCCTTGTGTGTGCGTGTATTATGATTATAAATTTAACAATAATGGATAAAACCAATATGTGCACTCATTGATGGCAAGCCATGACTTGGAAAGAAAGTAGCCCAAAAATATGGAAATAAACACATAAAGGTCTTTTAATGATCATATACCTATATCCAGTGATGAGCTCCACTTCACAAATTATTTTAATCAGGTAATCTTGAAAATCCAATAAATGGGCATTCTGCTGTTGATAAATACCCTTTTCTTGGGCATATGATTTGTTCACTACTAAGAGATTGCAACTAATAACCTGATTGCATTGATCACTTTCTTAGGAGATATACTAATGACAGGAATCCATTGATCATATAACTCATAGTTATGCATGCATAGGTGTGCTTTAGAAGCCAAACCATCATAGGTCCTAATGCTATGCAATTATGAGCCCACGATGCATATGAAATCCTTACATTGTGACTCAATATTGTTCCACCTGAACTATTGTTATGTATGGCAGTGCCTCCATGTGCTTTCCATGAACAGAGAAGAAGAGCATTGAAAATTAAAAGTTTGCCTTCTAATGGCTACTAACAACTGAGCAAAGACAAGAAAGAGTCATTGTTTTATTTTTATTTTTTGTGCAAATGTCTATGCGCCTCATTTTTATGAGCATGAACTATTGTTATGCATACCAGTGCTTCATTGTGCTTTCATCGGACATGGAAGAGGAAGGCATCGAAAATTAAAAGTTTGCCTTCTAATAGCCACTAAAAAAAGTCAATTTTCTTTCGAACTTTTTGTGCAAATATCTGAGCCTTTTCTACTGTTATGTACACCAGTGCTTCATTATGCCTTCCTTGGACATAGAAAGAGAAAGGCATTGAACATTAAAAGTTTGCCTTCTAATAGCTACTAATAGCTAAACAAAGACAAAAGAGTCAATTTTCTTTCAGTTTTTTCGTGCAAATATCTATGAGCCTGATTTTTATTTGCCTTCTATCTCATTTTCTTACAGAAAAAAAATGTCAACAAAACTGCAATCTACATCATCAAAAAATAAATAAATACTTGTAAATGCAAAACATGAAAATATAAAACCAAGAACAAGATTTAAGAAGGACAATGATACATGAAGTATCAAATTAATAATGAGGAATAAAAGAAGAACCTGATATAGAACATGAATCCAGTTAGCATCTCTTGGACCAGGGATATGTTTCAAAATTACACCACATTTTTCAAATTCACGCAATACTAAATTGGTATCCCCAGGGGAGAATCTGGAAAAGGGCAAAATGAACAATGATGTTATTGAAAGAAAACATAAGTTTCACTTTACGAGAAGATAAATAACCATACCAGTTTCATAAGCACAATACCTATCAGATCTACAAATTAATATCTGACATAAGAAATGATAATTTTTCTTGATTAATATAAGAATTAGGGATCATTTCTGTTTAAAATAAAACATTCATTTTTGTTTCAATAATTGGATTTATGTGAAAAAAATAATTTATGTTAGAATAACATATTAAAGTAAATATAGTATTCGAAAAAAAAAACATATAAAAGTAAATATAAAGGTAATGTCTATCTCCTTACGGGTTCAGTTGCAAGAACCAACATACATAGAAAAACAGAAGAAATTGGAAAAGGGAAAAGGGAAAAGGAAACCATAGGTCTATGAATTAGCATATCCACAGAAGCAATAACACAAGGGTGGGCCTTGGCACAACAGTTGGGTTGCTCCATTGCAAACTGGGTGACCAGGGTTCAAATCTTGGAAACAGCCTCTCTGTATGTGCGGGGTAAGGCTGCGTACATCTGTCCCTCCCTAGACCCCACATTGGAAGGAGCCTTGTGCATGGAGCTGTCCTTTTTGGAGAAGCGATTACACAAGGAGAAAAAATAATGATAATTCATGGAGAAAAGTTCATCATATACTGGTGGGTGAAATTCTCTGGATGAGATCTCAATCAATGGTTTCCACATGTGAAAGTCTGAACTCTGGAATTTGATAATAAACCGCAAGGCATTAACAAGCAGTAAATACCAATTAAAGAGAGAGATGTGTGGGATACATTGCTATACAACTAATCTGTATGTTACTTCACGGTACAGCTATAAATTTTCTCAAATGAAGATCCGTGAGAAGAAAAGAACATACCATCTAACCCAAACAAAACATTCAATAAGTTGGGGAACAATAGCTATCTAATAACGCATAAGCAGTCAATGCTTACTTTACAAAAGAGAAAAGGGAAAAGGCACTGGAACTGATACATGTAGAAAAGCATCTATAGGGATTTTGTAGTTAGAGATAGAGATTAAACCAGTTACAGATCTTATAATTTGAACAGAAAGAGAAGGTAGAGATGCATTGATATTTGTAGAAGATAATTGGAAAGCCGATAATGAAAGCACCACCCAAGATACATAGGAAGCTGAACACTAAAGAGAAAGAGAAACAACATGTTAGTTCATTCATAAACGACTTGTATGATTGTCAGAGTAAAACTCAAAAAGCGGGAAATTTTACTTTAGATGCTTACTTAAAATTCCTAATCAAAATCACTCAGATTAAGAACAGAATATATACAAAAGACGTAGCAAGGATATGCCAGGTAATGGAGATAAAATAGGTAGAACGAACCGTACCCATATACAGTAACCCATTCCTCCTCATCGAGGTTACCCGCAGGTAAGCTACTCTTCTGCAACTCCGGCCTTGCAACTTCCCTTGGTGGAGGAAACGTAATTAAAGCACCCGGTTGCATCACGCCTTCAACAGGAGAGCCTTTCCCCTTCTCATCATGCTCACTGCCGCTCTTCGTTGGAGACAACCAGCTTGAACTTGCAGGTGTCTGTTGTACTTGCTGCCCTCCAACAAGGGCAGACGAAGTGCTCGCCTCTGACTTGCTTCTCAATGGAGAAATAGAGTCACGCCGGGAATCTCGAAGAGGAGTTCTCATTTCCGACTTGGTTTCTGGAGAAATAGGGTAATCTGCGATCCCAGATTCTGGAGAGAAATCTGCACGGTCTTCCAAGGTGAATATGGGCGGTGGCGGAGGATCCGTGCCCCCAAAATTCTCCCGCCATAGAGCAGAAACGGCAGCTGCCTGACCTGGGCTCGTGAATTTTCCTCTGTGAGAAGAAACCGGGGATGCTAAATCATGAAAAAAGAGCGATTGCCTTCCCGATTTGGAAGTTCTTTGTACAGTAGTGCT